CTCCCCTACTCTGTTTTTAACTGACAAATCCATTCATTCCCTAAGCTTTCTTAACTTGTTTATCTCACTCCAAAATTTTGTCTTATTTTCATCAAAATTTCTTGACAGTGCCTCTCCCACTCTATCATCTGCTTTCTTTTTGTACTCTCACCACTCTCTTCACTTTTCTTTTACTCTGCATATACTCTGCTCTTCTTATAAAACTTCTGCTTTATAAAAAAACTCTCATAAAACACCTTTTTTCCTTTTATCACACCCTTTACTTCATCATTCCACCAATCGCTCCTCTTTCCTCCTGCCTCCACCCTCCTATAGCCACAAACTTCTGCTCCACATTCTAATACTGCATTTTTAAAACTATTCCAACCCTCTTCAACCCCCCATTACTTATACTTGCACTAGCCCACCTTTCTGCCAATAGTTGCTTATATCTCACCCTAACTTCCTCCTCCCTTAGTTTATACACTTTCATCTCTCTTTTACTTAATGTTGCCATTTTCCTTTTGTCCCATCTACCTCTTACTCTAACTGTAGCTACAACTAAATAATGATCTGATATATCAGTTGCCTCTCTATAAACATGTACATCCTGAAGCCTACCCATCCTTTTATCCACCAATACATAATCTAAGAAACTACTTCCATTATGTGCTATATCATAACTTGTATACTTATTTATCCTCTTTTTCATAAAATATGTATTACTTATTACCAAACCTCTTTCTACACATAGCTCAATTAAAGGCTCCCCATTTTCATTAACCCTTGGCACCCCAAATTTACCTACTACTCCCTCCACATCATTTGTACCCACTTTAGCATTGAAATCCCCAATCACAAGTACTCTCACACTTGGTTCAAAACTCCCCATGCACTGACTCAATATTTCCCAAAATCTCTCTGTCTCCTCTACACTTCTCTCTTCTCCAGGTGCATAAATGCTTACTATAACCCACTTTTCACATCCAACCCTTATTTTACTCCACATAATAAATTATTATTATTTTTTTTTTTTTTTTTTTTTTTTTTTTTTTTTTTTTTTTTTTTTTTTTTTTTTTTTATTATCACACCGGCCGATTCCCACCAAGGCAGGGTGGCCCGAAAAAGAAAAACTTTCACCATCATTCACTCCATCACTGTCTTGCCAGAAGGGTGCTTTACACTACAGTTTTTAAACTGCAACATTAACACCCCTCCTTCAGAGTGCAGGCACTGTACTTCCCATCTCCAGGACTCAAGTCCGGCCTGCCGGTTTCCCTGAATCCCTTCATAAATGTTACTTTGCTCACACTCCAACAGCACGTCAAGTATTAAAAACCATTTGTCTCCATTCACTCCTATCAAACACGCTCACGCATGCCTGCTGGAAGTCCAAGCCCCTCGCACACAAAACCTCCTTTACCCCCTCCCTCCAACCCTTCCTAGGCCGACCCCTACCCCGCCTTCCTTCCACTACAGACTGATACACTCTTGAAGTCATTCTGTTTGCTCCATTCTCTCTACATGTCCGAACCACCTCAACAACCCTTCCTCAGCCCTCTGGACAACAGTTTTGGTAATCCCACACCTCCTCCTAACTTCCAAACTACGAATTCTCTGCATTATATTCACACCACACATTGCCCTCAGACATGACATCTCCACTGCCTCCAGCCTTCTCCTCGCTGCAACATTCATCACCCACGCTTCACACCCATATAAGAGCGTTGGTAAAACTATACTCTCATACATTCCCCTCTTTGCCTCCAAGGACAAAGTTCTTGTCTCCACAGACTCCTAATGCACCACTCACTCTTTTTCCCTCATCAATTCTATGATTCACCTCATCTTTCATAGACCATCCGCTGACACGTCCACTCCCAAATATCTGAATACGTTCACCTCCTCCATACTCTCTCTCCTCCAATCTGATATTCAATCTTTCATCACCTAATCTTTTTGTTATCCTCATAACCTTACTCTTTCCTGTATTCACCTTTAATTTTCTTCTTTTGCACACCCTACCAAATTCATCCACCAATCTCTGCAACTTCTCTTCAGAATCTCCCAAGAGCACAGTGTCATCAGCAAAGAGCAGCTGTGACAACTCCCACTTTGTGTGTGATTCTTTATCTTTTAACTCCACGCCTCTTGCCAAGACCCTCGCATTTACTTCTCTTACAACCCCATCTATAAATATATTAAACAACCACGGTGACATCACACATCCTTGTCTAAGGCCTACTTTACTGGGAAAAAATTTCCCTCTTTCCTACTACTCTAACTTGAGCCTCACTATCCTCGTAAAAACTCTTCACTGCTTTCAGTAACCTACCTCCTACACCATACACTTGCAACATCTGCCACATTGCCCCCCTATCCACCCTGTCATACGCCTTTTCCAAATCCATAAATGCCACAAAGACCTCTTTAGCCTTATCTAAATACTGTTCACTTATATGTTTCACTGTAAACACCTGGTCCACACACCCCCTACCTTTCCTAAAGCCTCCTTGTTCATCTGCTATCCTATTCTCCGTCTTACTCTTAATTCTTTCAATTATAACTCTACCATACACTTTACCAGGTACACTCAACAGACTTATCCCCCTATAATTTTTGCACTCTCTTTTATCCCCTTTGCCTTTATACAAAGGAACTATGCAGCTCTCTGCCAATCCCTAGGTACCTTACCCTCTTCCATACATTTATTAAATAATTGCACCAACCACTCCAAAACTACATCCCCACCTGCTTTTAACATTTCTATCTTTATCCCATCAATCCCGGCTGCCTTACCCCCTTTCATTTTACCTACTGCCTCACGAACTTCCCCCACACTCACAACTGGCTCTTCCTCACTCCTACAAGATGTTATTCCTCCTTGCCCTATACACGAAATCACAGCTTCCCTATCTTCATCAACATTTAACAATTCCTCAAAATATTCCTTCCATCTTCCCAATACCTCTAACTCTCCATTTAATAACTCTCCTCTCCTATTTTTAACAGACAAATCCATTTGTTCTCTAGGCTTTCTTAAACTTGTTAATCTCACTCCAAAACTTTTTCTTATTTTCAACAAAAATTTGTTGATAACATCTCACCCACTCTCTCATTTGCTCTCTTTTTTACATTGCTTCACCACTCTCTTAACTTCTCTCTTTTTCTCCATATACTCTCCCTCCTTGCATCACTTCTACTTTGTAAAAATTTCTCATATGCTAACTTTTTCTCCCTTACTACTCTCTTTACATCATCATTCCACCAATCGCTCCTCTTCCCTCCTGCACCCACTTTCCTGTAACCACAAACTTCTGCTGAACACTCTAACACTACATTTTTAAACCTACCCCATACCTCTTCGACCCCATTGCCTATGCTCTCATTAGCCCATCTATCCTCCAATAGCTGTTTATATCTTACCTAAACTGCCTCCTCTTTTAGTTTATAACCTTTACCTCTCTCTTCCCTGATGCTTCTATTCTCCTTGTATCCCATCTACCTTTTACTCTCAGTGTAGCTACAACTAGAAAGTGATCTGATATATCTGTGGCCCCTCTATAAACATGTACATCCTGAAGTCTCTCAACAGTCTTTTATCTACCAATACATAATCCAACAAACTACTGTCATTTCGCCCTACATCATATCGTGTATACTTATTTATCCTCTTTTTCTAAAATATGTATTACCTATAACTAAACCCCTTTCTATACAAAGTTCAATCAAAGGGCTCCCATTATCATTTACACCTGGCACCCCAAACTTACTACCACACCCTCTCTAAAAGTTTCTCCTACTTTAGCATTCAAGTCCCCTACCACAATTACTCTCTCACTTGGTCAAAGGCTCCTATACATTCACTTAACATCTCCCAAAATCTCTCTCTCTCCTCTGCATTCCTCTCTTCTCCAGGTGCATACACGCTTATTATGACCCACTTCTCGCATCCAACCTTTACTTTAATCCACATAATTCTTGAATTTACACATTCATATTCTCTTTTCTCCTTCCATAACTGATCATTTAACATTACTGCTCCCCCTTTCCCTTTGCTCTAACTCCCTCAGATACTCCAGATTTAATCCCATTTATTTCCCCCACTGAAACTCTCCTACCCCCTTCAGCTTTGTTTCGCTTAGGGCCAGGACATCCAACTTCTTTTCATTCATAACATCAGCAATCATCTGTTTCTTGTCATCCGCACTACATCCACGCACATTTAAGCAACCCAGTTTTATAAAGTTTTTCTTCTTCTCTTTTTTAGTAATTGTATACAGGAGAAGGGTTACTAGCCCATTGCTCCGGCATTTTAGTCGCCTCATACGACACGCATGGCTTACGGAGGAAAGATTCTTTCCACTTCCCCATGGACAATAGAAGAAATAAAAAAGAACAAGAGCTATTTAGAAAAAGGAGAAAAACCTAGATGTATGTATATATATATATGCATGTGCGTGTCTATGAAGTGTGACCAAAGTGTAAGTAGGAGTAGCAAGATATCCCTGTTATCTTAGCGTGTTTATGAGACAGAAAAAGAAACCAGCAATCCTACCATCATGCAAAACAGTTACAGGTTTTTGTTTCACAGTCATCTGGCAGGACGGTAGTACTTCCCTGGGTGGTTGCTGTCTACCAACCTACTACCTGAATAATAAATAATAAATATAATAATAAATATAATAATAAATATAATAAATATAATGCAATAAACATTGAAAATAAATAAGTGAAAAGTACAATTTACACTGGATTTCATTATATTGAGGGTTTACTGTACAGTGGTACCCCAAGTTTCAAACAGCTCCCTACTCGAACAATTATTTAGGAGTGTTTTTGTAAGTGTATTTTTGGGGGTCTGAAACGGACTAATCTAATTTACATCATTCCTTATGGGAACAAATTTGTTCGGTATCGGCACTTGAACAGCCTTCTAGAACGAATTAAGTTCGTAACTCGAGGTACCACTGTATATGTTATGTCCTCTAGGGAAGGGAGCATTAACAAACTGAACTTACCCTCAAGATTAAGACATACATTAGCTATCATGTACAGGCAATAGTTGTCTATAAAATGACAATTGTTAAGTCTTAGTGTGATCAACTGTCGACCACACGTGTGAATGAACTCCATGAAAGTTTCTGTGTCTACAGCATTGTAAGGTCCACACCAGGAGAGATCAAGGGCTTGCAGGAGAGAGCATTTTGAAGAAAGGCATTTTAAGGTAGAGTTCTTTACCAACCACCAGCAATTCTGCAAAAAATTCAAAAACATATTACTTAAAAGAGAATATCCATACCAGTAGGGTATCTTAATCCTATATTTCTACTTTAGCTAAACACAAAAATAATTCAGTTTAAAGATGCAATATTTATAGGGAAACATTAAACCCATAAGGGTCATACAGTGACTAACTAGTTTTACAAGATATTTCATTTATCTTCATGCCTGGTCAAAACATTATATACTATTATTTACCTTGAGATTTAACCTCATGTAAAGGCAAGGTTCAGAGGCATATTTCTGAAGCAGCTTACATGTGTGAACCAAGCGACATAAACTTCTTATATCCAGCTGACGAAGTACGTAGATAATCAGCTCTTCCTGAAAATAATAATTTTATATTGTACACAAGATTTCCTTTTTCTGTTACCCTTTTCTGCAGAATATTTAAGTGCAAAGAGCCTTAGTTATAAAATATAAGCAAGGATGCTTGTATCGAAGGCAAGGGAAAGACGGGAACAAATGACTACAAATATAGATCAATGACAGGCATTTACAGGATGAGATGGTTATGCATGCTAGACAGGAAAAAATAGCTAGCTTCCTTATTACAGCAGCCTCTGCCTCAACATGTCTGTTCATTTGCCAGGACACTAACATGGCACCTTGTCCTCCACATGAAGGTGAGTTAATCACTTCTGGATCTATGGGACTACAGGGTAGAGAGAAGCCTACTAGACCAGGGCAAACAGAGCACACTAGGGACTGGAGTAAACAAGACTGAGATCTAACCAAGCCAGCTATTAGGAGAAGAGCAGCTAGGACTGTGTGTGCTGTGCAGTGAACACAGAGGGCTTGCTTAGTAACTGTGCAGTGTGTCATTACCAGTGATCACAGCAAAACCAACACCAAGAAACATGTTCCTGAAGATATTTTGTTTAAGTGCACTTCAAGAAATATGATAGGAGTAATTGTTATGCCTAGGACTCTGTTTCCAAGAGCTTCTTTTTTCTACCTAAATGATACTCTGTCTTCAAGTTTCTACATCTATCTCTCAGCTTTATAATCTTGCTTTTCTTCAGGCTAAATTTCAGTAGTTATTTACTTGACTATTCTTAAAATCTTTTGAATTTTTCCCTCCAGTATTCTTTCATCCCCCTCTATCTGCTTCAATTTAAAGACAAATCTGCAGCAAGTGCTCAAAGAAGAAAATAATCTCATTAAAGAATCAGGGAAAATCTAAAAACTGGATAAACGTAAGTAAGAGAGCATAAAAAGGCTGTAGAAGGGAGTACAGTATGTCTGTGTGTATAAGACTACTAGTATTATTAAGAACACTAATACATACTTCACTATTTTTGTAAAGGTCAATACATTTAGACAAGTGTTACCATCATCGAAATGATTTTTCCCTCTCTGTAATAAATGAAAAGATAATGTTACACAGAAACCTTACATTACTGAATAATCTTAAGAAAGATAAACCAAAATAAATTACACCATAATGCTTTCCTGTAATCTAATGATTGCTAAATATGAAATATATACTAGAAAAAATAAGGAAAAATAAGAATCTTCAAGTGATGTTAAATATAGGGAGGCTAATTTAAGAAAAAAAATATCTTTGGGAACTCAATGATACTGAATATCGAGATGCTGCAAAAGATGTGGAAAGATGACTAGCTATGGAAGACTGCAAAAACAAGCTTATACTTAATACTTTGAACTATATTTTTTTATCTTAGAGTCAGGAAGCTAATCCTTTACTATTAGCCAAGGTATATACCTACACCAAACAATATTTGCTTCTTTCACTGCTAAGGCAATATTGACTCACAGGCAACAAGTCAAAATAGCCTCCATTTGTTCCTTCAACCTCTGCAACCTCCACTATGTCCTCCTGCTGTGTATCTTCACCTATTGCTGTTGAATGTTCCTCATTCACCCTCACATTCATTATGTCTGCCTTCTCCTCTCTCAAGAGATCTTCTGGTTGTATCAGTTCCTCTGCCAAAAACTTTTGAAGTTTTCCTTCTGACATAAGAAACTGTACACCAGTAAGGATATTTTCTTCACACCTGTTGATGATCATTTTTTTATTACAAATATTTTCATCTTTGTTGTTGTTGTAAAAAATATATATATATTTTGACTTACCCTGTATTTTAAAATTAACGAGTTTATACATGAATTTGCATAAATATAACATTATCAATAAATTACAATGTATGAGAGTTCAAAGATTAATTCAAATAAAATATAAATATAAAGACTGAAATGAAGCAATGAAGCTTAAAATTGTATCACCTACATATGGTTCAACATTCTTATAACACTAAATAAAATAAAACAATATATTTTTTTTTATTAACACATTGGCCATCTCCCACAAAGGCAGGGTAGCCCAAAAGAGAAAAACTTTCATCATTCACTCCATCACTGTTTTGCCAGAGGCACACTTACACTAGTTATAAAACTGCAACATTAACACGCCTCCTTCAGAGTGCAGACACTGTACTTCTCATCTCCAGGACTCAAGTATGGCCTGCTGGTTTCCCTGAATCCCTTCATAAATGTTACCTTGCTCACACTCCAACAGAACATAAAGTCCTAAAAACCATTTGTCTCTATTCACTCCTATCTAACACACTCACGCATGCTAGTTGGAAGTCCAAGCCCCTCGCACACAAAACCTCTTTTACCCCCTCCCTCCAACCTTTCCCAGGCCGACCCCTACCCTGTCTTCCCACCACTACAGGTTTATACACTCTCGAAGTCATTCTATTTTGTTCCTTCCTCTCTACATGTCTGAACCACCTCAACAACTCCTCAGCCCTCTGGATAATAGTTTTGGTAACCCCCACCTCCTCCTAATTTCCAAACTATGAATTCTTTACATTATATTCACACCACACACTGCCCTCAGACATGACATCTCCACTTTATAAATATTCTTTTCACTGTTTTCTTAAATTCTTCCAAACCAACATAGCAATTACCCAGGGAGACACTACAATTCTGTCATATAACTGAAACAGAAGCCTGTTAGGTACTACTCATAGGATTGCTGGTCTTCTCATTCTATCTCATGAACATGCATGATAGCAGATAATCTCGAGAATGAATACAGGTGTTCCTCAACTTATGATGAGGTTATGTTCTGGTGAACCCACTGTAAGTTGAAAATATCATAAGTCAAATGTGAATATACTGTACATGATAAATGCAGTGGACTCCCACATAACGCTATTAATCCGTTCCTGAGAGCTCAATGTTATGCGAAATTATCGTTATGCAAATTAATTTTCCCCATAAGAAATAATGGAAATCAAATTAATCCGTCCAAGACACCCAAAAGTATGAAAAAATTTTTTTTTACCACATGAAATATTAATTTTAATACACACAAACTTAAGAAAACATGCACAGTTACATGACACTTACCTTTATTGAAGATCTGGTGATGATTGATGGGATGGGAGGAGAGGAGACTGGATGCTTTTAGTGTTTAGAAGGGGAAACCCCTTACATTAGGACTTGAGGTGTCAAGTCCTTTTCCAGGGTTGCTTCCCTTCTTCTTTTAATGCCACTAGGACCAGCTTCAGAGTCACTGGACTTCTGTCGCACAACATATCTGTCCATAGTGGCCTGTACCTCTTGTTCCTTTATGACTTTCCTAAAGTGTTTCACAACAGTGTCAGTGTAATAGTCACCAGCACGGCTTGCAATAGCTGTCTGAGGGTGATTTTCATCCATGAAGGTTTGCACTTCAAGCCACTTTGCACAGATTTCCTTAATCTTTGAAGTAGGCAACTTCTTCAATTTCTCTCTCCCCTCCTCCAAAGCAATTTCCTCAGGTGTGGCCTCTTGCTGTTGAAGTTGATCTAGCAGCTCATCAGTGGTTAGTTCTTCATTGTCCTCCTCCACCAACTCTTCCACATCCTCCCCACTAACCTCCAAAACCCCAAGGATTTCCCCCAATGCCACAATTGTTTTCCTCAACTGGCATAGAATTCTCAGGGTTAGCCTCAAATCCTTCAGAACCCCTTTCGTCTACACATTCTGGCCACAGTTTCTTCAAGCAGAGTTCAAGGTCCTCTTAATAAATCCCTCCCAAGCCTTACCTATAAGGTTTAAAACAATTGAGGATATTAAAGTGCTCTCCCCAAAAACTCTCTTAGAGTCAATTGAGTTTCTGAGGTCACTACAAAGCACCTTTCAAACAGAGCTTTTGTCTACAGTTTTTTGAAGTTTGCAATAACCTGCGGGTTTCCATGGCTGCAGGAAAGGAGTGGTATTAGGAGGCAAAAACTTCACCTTAATAAGCTAATGCCCCCACAAAGTCGCTCTGCCAAGTCTGTAGGATGACCAGGGCATTGTCTAACACCAGGAGGCACTTAAGGTCTAATTTCTTTTCGGTTAGGTAATTTTTCACAGTGGGGGCAAATGCTTGGGTGTAACCCAGTCATAGAAAAAGCCCCTAGTGACCCTTGCCTTATTGTTTGCCCTCCAAGCACACACAATTAGCCTTGAGGATATTCTTTTGCCTGAACGCTCTGGGAGTTTCAGAGTGATACACTAATAAAGGGCTTCACTTTGCAATCACCACTAGCATTGGCACACATGAGAAGAAAAGCCTGTCTTTCATAGGCTTATGTCCTGGAGTGCCTTTTCCTCCTGAGTAATGTAGGTCCTGCCTGGCATTTTTTTCAAAACAGGCCTGTTTCGTCACAATTAAACACTTGTTCAGGTTTCAGTCCTTCACTGTCTAGTACTCTTGAATTCATGCACATATTTTTCAGCTGCTTTTTGGTCCGAACTGGCAGCCTCTCCATGCCTTATCACACTATGAGGGCACTACGCCTCTTAAAGCTCTCAAACCAACCTTTGCTGGCCTTAAATTCACTCGCATCCCCACTAGTTGCAGGCATTTTTCTAATTAAAATCCTCGTGCAACTTCCTAGCCTTTTCACTTATGATGGGTTGAGAGATGCTATCGCCTGCTATCTTTTTTTTTCCGTTCATCCCACCAATAACAGTTTCTCAACATCTTCTATCACTTGCGATCTCTGTTTCGAAAGCACAGTTAAACCTTTGGCAAGAACAGCTTCCTGATTGCCGTTCTCTTGGACACAATAGAAGCGATGGTTGATTGGGGTTTACATACAACCTGGCCAGCTCGGAGACACGAAATCCACTTTCATACTTAGCAATGATCTCTTTCTTCATCTCCATAGTAATTCTCACCCTTATTCCTGTAGGGTTGGCACTAGAAGCTTTCTTGGGGCCCCACCCATGGTCACTTATTTTTCAGGTGAAATCACTATAAAAAGGCTGTAATAATACGAAATGTTCCGATTGTATGCTTGAATGTTACCGCGGAGGCTGGCTTGTAAACAATGCCACTGGCAGAACAAATGAGGCTGGCTCAGGCCGCATGGACGTGTCTCGGATGAATCGCGTTGAGCGAATTTTTTAGCACTATGCGAGGCAAAATTTTAGCGATAAAATGTATCGCTATGCGGATTTAACACTATGCGATGCCAACGTTATGTGGGGGTCCACTGTAAATAAGTAAATAGCTACTCTAAGTAAATAAACAAATACTAATTACTGTAGCTAACTAAATACCAGTACTGAAAAGTATATAAATGAATACAAGTTTATTATATCAATCAATGTACAGTATTGTACAATACTGAATTACTATTACATCATCATAAAGTCGAAATATCCCAAGTTGAAGCATTGTAAAACGAGGAGTATCTGTATTTAGTCAGCATATACTGTACAGCCTCTCTAATGGTAGTGGGTTTGTGTCAATCATCTTTGATACTGTTTTACTGTCACCTTTGCACCATTTATAACATTTTTAGTATATGTATTTTTAAATGTTTATACAGTAGCATGTATACTGTAATAAACAGGATAGTAGAAATCAGCTCAAATACACATTATTTAGGGTAGGCATACTGGTCAGAGAGTCCGTCGTAAGTCCAAGGCGTCAGTAAACGGGTACGTCGCTGTGAGGAGAAGCTGTACTTATATTTATTGTTCTGTATTCCTTAATAACTGATTTTATGTTACGTATATTTCTTTTCTAATTTTGAAGGCAATGTGGGGAACTGGTAATGATTCCAAAAACCATTAACAGAAACAATATACGTAACTATACATACATACATAGAGCTCAAAGGCCAGCCCTTTCCTTTAAGCAATCAAACAGGTGATGATGTGCTTCATGCCAATATCTGAACCAAAGAAAAAAGAATTCTATTGCTTGGGAGGAAATCTTACATGGATGTATGGAGTCCCAACTTGATAATTTGTGACGTTAAGGAATCTCCTGAGTTTACAAATGACTTGCTTGCAGTATGTGTCGAGCCCACCAGGAGGATAGAATCTAGAGCAGAGTAGTACTTCTGATACTGCTGGTCAAACTCTATTCTCAGCAAGCTGAAATACAAGATCACTTAATAAAAATGTAGTTCTCAATCATACACTTTAAATGTTTTTTTAATTTTAATACTATGATCATCATTTAACAATTATTGTTAATGATTATTTTGCAAAATATTATTACCATGTATTATTATTACCATGATGAAGTAAAGGGTGTGATAAAAGAGAAAGTTAGCTTATGAGAGGTTTTTACAAAGCAGAAGTGTTATAAGAAAAGCAGAGTATATGGAGAGTAAAAGAAAGGTGAAGAGAGTGGTGTGAGAGTGCAAAAGGAGAGCAGATGATAGAGTGCTCCGGAGAGGCACTGTCAAGAAATTTTAATGAAAATAAGAAAAAATTTTGGAGTGAGTTAAACAAGTTAAGAAAGCCTTAGGGAAAGTATGGATTTGTCAGTTAAAAACAGAGTATGGGAGTTAGTAGATGGGGAAGGGGAGGTATTAGGTAGATGGCGAGAATATTTTGAGGAACTTTTAAATGTTGAGGAAAAAAAGGGAGGCGGTAATTTCATGCACTGGTAGGGAGGTATACCATCTTTTAGGAGTGAAGAAGAGCAGAATGTAAGTGTGGGGGAGGAACGTGAGGCATTTACGTAGAATGAAAGGGGGTAAAGCAGCTGGAACTGATGGGATCATGACAGAAATGACAGGGGGGGATATAGTGTTGGAGTGGTTGGTAACTTTTGTTTAATAAATGTTGAAAGAGGGGAAGGTACCTAGGGATTGGTGGAGAGCAGTATAGTCCCTTTATATAAAGGGAAAGGGGACAAAAGAGATTGTAAAAAATTATAGAGGAATAAGTTTATTGAGTATACCAGGAAAAGTGTAGGTAGGGTTATAATTGAAAATTAGAGGTAAGAACAGAATGTAGGATTGCGGATGAGCAAGGAGGTTTCAGATTTGGGTAGGGGATGTGTAGATCAAGTGTTTACATTGAAGCATATATGTGAACAGTATTTAGATAAGGTAGGGAAGTTTTTATTGCTTTTAAATGGATTTAGAAAAGGCATATGATAGAGGGGATAGGGGAGCAATGTGGCAGATGTTGCAAGTATATGGAATAGGTGGTAAGTTACTAAATGCTGTAAAGAGTTTTTATGAGGATAGTGAGGCTAGGTTAGGGGGGTGTGAAGAGAGGGAGACTACTCCCGGAAAGTAGGGCTTAGACAGGGATGTGTAATGTCACCATGGTTGTTAATATATTTATAGATGGGTTGTAAAAGAAGTAAATGTAGGGTGTTCGGGAGAGGGGGGGAATTAAATGGGGGAAACAAATTCAAAAGGGAATTAAAACAGTTACGATTTTGCTGAGATACTGTGCTTATGGGAGATTCTAAAGAAAAATTGCAAGGTTAGTGGATGATTGGATGGTGTAAAGGTTAGAAAGTTGAAAGGGGAACATAGAAAAAGTAGGTGATGAAGGTAAACAAATGATTTAGGGTAAGAAAATTGAATAATCAAATTGGGGAGGAGGAGTATGGAAAAAAGTAAATGTTTTCAGATACTTGGGAGTTGACGTGTCGGCAGATGGATTTTTTGAAGGATGAGGTTAATCATAGAACTGATGAGGGAAAAAAGGTGCGTGGTGCATTGAGGTATATGTGGGGTCCAAAAAAACATTATCTATGGAGGCAAAGAAGGGAATGTATGAAAGTATAGTAGTACCAACACTCTTATATGGGTGTGAAGCTTGGGTGGTTAATGCAGCAGCGAGGAGACGGTTGGGGGCAGTGGAGATGTCCTGTCTAAGGGCAGTGTGTGGTGTAAATATTATGCAGAAAAATTCGGAGTGTGGAAATTAGGAAAAGGTGTGGAGTTAATAAAGTATTAGTCAGAGGGCAGAAGAGGGGTTGTTGAGGTGGTTTGGTCATTTAGAGAGAATGGATCAAAGTAGAATGACATGGAAAGCATATAAATCTATAGGGGAAGGAAGGCGAGGTAGGGTCGTCCTCAAAGGGGTTTGGGAAGGGGGGGTAAAGGGGGTTTTTTGTGGGAAAGGGGGCTTGGCTTCCGCACGTGTGTGACTTTTTTTAATGGAGGAATGAAGACGAATGGTACTTGGGACCTATGATCTTTTGGGATGTGAGCGGGGAAATTTTTATAAAGGGTTTCAGGGAAACCGGGTTAAATTTTCATATAGTGGGACTTATCGGGAAAGGGAAACAATGCCTGCACTTTAAAGGAGGGGTTTGGGATATTGGCATTTGGGGGATATGTTTGTATTTTTATACGTATTTTCTTCTAAACTGTTGTATTCGAGCCCTCTGCAAAAACATGAAAATGTGTGAGTGGGTGAAAGTGTTGAAATGGGAAAGCATTTTTTTTTGGGGGTTTTTCTTTCTTTTTTGGGTCCCCTGCCTCGAGGGGAGACGGCCAACTTTTGAAAAAAAAAAATTCCCTTTATTTTTAATATTTGAACAAAAACTTATGAAGACATTTCGGTCTGAGTTGGCCCGAAATGTCGTCTCCTACAAAAGTTATTTTATATTGATCTCAAAGTATTGTGCTTTTTTTTTTCTTTAGATCTTTAGCAACTGCTGTTAAAGAAAAAAATAGAATCTAGTCTTATCCAAAGATGGTTCTTTCTGTAAAGACAGCACACTATAAATCTTTACTTAAATGCAGTTTTTCAACCATCCTAACCTTTACTTCTTAATTTATTATTTTTTTTTTTGCAACAAAAAGATTTCCTAAAATTTCTGTCTATTCAAAACGAGGGTGATAGCTCCCTATGACAAAATTAAAAATAAGAATCACCAAAAAATTTAATGGGTTCTCTGAGTTTTTTTCCTTTTATGGATTTTGGGTCTTCCAGGAGAAAAAAAAAAATTTTTAATTTGAGGGAGGGGATATTTTTATGACGGTGACTGCTTTTCCCTTTTTAAAAAACCCAAAACCTGGTGGGAAATGGTGACATGGAAAATATAAATCAAGGGTAGAGGCCTTTGATTTTTTCCCTTGATTGGAGTTTTTGGTTAAAATAATATTCAATAGTAGAAAATAAATTTTTTAAAAAAAATGCAAAAAAAAAAAAAAAAAAGAAAAAAAACCATTTAAACCATGTACTTGCAAGCATCATATAAATAAATCTATGTTCTTTATTCACTGTTTTCCCACAAAAAAATTTTAAATAAATTTAAACCAAAAAAAAATAGTAAAAATATACATCATTTACAAAATACAGTTGTTTTAATGCTACAAATTGTCACATCTGCATTACCCCAAAAATGTGTAACTTTTCTTTACAAGATGATTAGGGTTGTTGATGGTGGAGGAATATTCGAGCATTGACTTCAAACCTTTGAGGTTCACCACCCAGAAGTTCCATCCCTTTGGCCTTCCAACGACCCCCCAAACCCCCCACACTTCCCCGGGTGGGATAAAAAATGTAGTTCTCAACCCATACATTTTTAAAATTTTTTTTTAATTTTTAAAAATACTATGATCATCTTTTAAAAATTTATTTTTAAAAGATTATTTTGCAAAATATTATTCCCAAAGGGTTTTTATTATTACCATGTTTGGAAGAAAAAGGGTTGATAAAAGAAAAAAGTTAGCTTATAGAGGTTTTTACAAAGCAGAATTTGGTTTATAAAAAAAAGCAGAGTATATGGGAGTAAAAGAAAGGTGAAGAGAGGGTTTGTGAGATGCAAAAGGAGAGCAGATGAAGAGTGCCCCGGGAGAGGCATGTCAAAAAAATTTTAATGAAAAAAAAAAAAAAATTTTGGAGTGATTTAAAACCCAAATTTAAGAAAGCCTAGGGAAAGTATGGATTTGTCATTTTAAAAACAAGTAGGGGGGTTAGTAGATGGGGGGGAGGGAGGTATTAGGTAGATGGCGAAAATATTTTGGGGAAACTTTTAAATGTTGGGGAAAGAAAGGGAGGCGGAAATTTCATGCACTGGTCAGGGAGGTTCCCATTTTTTTAGGATGAAAAAAAGAGCAAAAATTAAGTGTGGGGGGGGAAAACGTGGGGCATTACGTAGAAAAAAAGGGGGGGGTTTAAAGCAGCGGGAAATGTTTGGGATCATAAACAAAAATGACGGGGGGGATATAGTTTTGGGGATTTGGTTGGTACTTTTGTTTAAAAAATTTGTATGAAAGGGGGGAAGGTACCTGGGGTTTGGGTGGAGAGCATGTATAGCCCCCTTTATTAAAGGGAAAAGGGGGAAAAAAGGGAGTTTTGTAAAAATTATAGGGGAAAAAATTTTATTAAAGTATCCCAGGAAAAGTGTATGGTTTGGGTTATAATTGAAAAAAATTAGAGGTAAGACGAATGTAGGAAATTTCGGAAAGAGAAGGAGGTTTTTTAGAAATGGGTTGGGGATGTGTAATAAAAGGGTTTTCTTTTAAGCATATATGTGAAAAAGTATTTAGATAAAGGTAGGGAAGTTTTTTTTTGCATTTATGGATTTAGAAAAGGCATATGGGTAGGTGGATAGGGGGGCAATGGGGGAGATGTTGCCCCAAAATAATGGAATAGGGGGTAAGTTATAAATGCTGGGGAAAAAGTTTTTTTGAGGTTTTGTGAGGGTCGGTTAGGGTGTGTGAAGAGAGGGGGGACACTTTCCCCGGGAAAAATAGGTTTACCCGGGATGTTTAATGTCACCTGGTTGTTTTTTTTTATTTTTAGATGGGTTGTAAAAGGGAAATAAATGCTAGGGTGGTTGGGAGAGGGGGGGGGATTAAATTTTTGGGGAATCAAATTCAAAAAGGGAATTAACACAGTTACGATTTGCTGATGATACTGTGCTTATGGGAGATTCTAAAGAAAAATTGCAAAGGTTAGTGGATGAGTTTGGGAATGTGTGTAAAGGTAGAAAGTTGAAAGTGAACATAGAAAAGAGTAAGGTGATGAGGGTATCAAATGATTTAGATAAAGAAAAATTGAATATCAAATTGGGGAGGAGGAGTATGGAAGAAGTAAATGTTTTCAGATACTTGGGAGTTGACGTGTCGGCAGATGGATTTATGAAGGATGAGGTTAATCATAGAACTGATGAGGGAAAAAAGGTGCGTGGTGCATTGAGGTATATGTGGAGTCAAAAAACATTATCTATGGAGGCAAAGAAGGGAATGTATGAAAGTATAGTAGTACCAACACTCTTATATGGGTGTGAAGCTTGGGTGGTAAATGCAGCAGCGAGGAGACGGTTGGAGGCAGTGGAGATGTCCTGTCTAAGGGCAGTGTGTGGTGTAAATATTATGCAGAAAATTCGGAGTGTGGAAATTAGGAAAAGGTGTGGAGTTAATAAAAGTATTAGTCAGAGGGCAGAAGAGGGGTTGTTGAGGTGGTTTGGTCATTTAGAGAGAATGGATCAAAGTAGAATGACATGGAAAGCATATAAATCTATAGGGGAAGGAAGGCGAGGTAGAGGTCGTCCTCGAAAGGGTTGGAGAGAGGGGGTAAAGGAGGTTTTGTGGGCAAGGGGCTTGGACTTCCAGCAAGCGTGTGTGAGCGTGTTAGATAGGAGTGAATGAAGACGAATGGTACTTGGGACCTGATGATCTGTTGGAGTGTGAGCAGGGTAATATTTAGTGAAGGGATTCAGGGAAACCGGTTATTTTCATATAGTCGGACTTGAGTCCTGGAAATGGGAAGTACAATGCCTGCACTTTAAAGGAGGGGTTTGGGATATTGGCAGTTTGGAGGGATATGTTGTGTATCTTTATACGTATATGCTTCTAAACTGTTGTATTCTGAGCACCTCTGCAAAAACAGTGATAATGTGTGAGTGTGGTGAAAGTGTTGAATGATGATGAAAGCATTTTCTCTTTGGGGATTTTCTTTCTTTTTTGGGTCACCCTGCCTCGATGGGAGACGGCCAACTTGTTGAGAAAAAAAAAAAATTCCATTATTTTAATATTTGAACTGAAACTTATGAAGACATTTCGGTCTGAGTTGGACCGAAATGTCAGTCTCCTACATACAGTTATTTGTATATTGATCATCACAGTATTGTGCTTTTTTATTCTTTAGATCTGTTAGTCTTAACTGCCTGTTAAAGAAAGAAAATAGAATCAGTAGTCTTAGTCCTACTGATGGTTCTTTTCTGTAATGACAGCACACTATAACATCTTTACTTAAATGTCAGTTTTTCAACTCATCACTATCCTTTATCTTCTTAATTTATTATTTTTTGTTTGCTAACAAAAAAGATTTCCTAAAATTTCTGTCTATTCAAAACTGAGGGTGATAGCTCCACTATGACAAATTAACATGAAGAATCACCAAAAAATCAATCGGCTATCTCTGAGTTTTTTGCCTTTATATGGCATTTGGATCAGTTCCAGGAGAAAAAAAAATGTATTAATTTTAGATGGCAGGTATATTTTCAGTGACGGTGACTGCATTTCCTTCTTTAAATCACCCAACCTTGGTGGGAAATGGCTGACATGGTAAAATATAAATCAGAGATAGAGGCCTTTGATTTTTCCATTGATTGGGAGTTTCTGGTTAACATAATATTCAATAGCTAAGAAAATAAATTTTGAAATAAAATGCAAAAAAAAAAAAAAAATGAAAAAAATCACATTTATACATGTACTATGCAAGCATTCATATATATATACTCTATGTTCTTTATACACTGTTTCCTACAATAAAATTTTAAATAAATTACCAAATAAAATAGTAAACATATACATACATTTACAAAATACAGTTGTGTTTTAATGCTACAATGTGTCACATCTGCATTACCCAAAAATGTGTAACTTACTTTACAAGATGATTAGGTTGTCTGATAGGTGGAGAGAATATTCGAGCCATTGACTTCAAACCTGTTTGAGGTTCACCTGACCACAGAAGTATCCATCCTTGGCCTTCCAACGACCCCCAGACCCTCACCACACTTCCCGGATGATAGGTCTCATAAAAGTCTACTCGAATGGGGTACACTGGGAACTCGTATCTAACATCTGTTGGACGTATTGTATTTGTCACAGGCACTTGCTCTAATAAGGTAGCGTCAATTTGCATAATTATAAGGTATGGCACATGCACACCAGCACACACACTAAAAACCCAAGGTAAAGAAAATGATGAGAGCTAAAACAATACATAATATGTATTAAACAATGAAGCAATATAAAAAAAAATTAGAAAAGATAAACTAGATGACCAAAACTCAGAGAACTGAGACAGACTTAAGTAAATCAACGATAGATTAGAGCTCTGTAAATACAGTTAAGAAAAAATGTTCAAAAACAATTACAGTATATCCCTGTTAAATGACTAGGAAGTATTCCAAAGAATAAGTGTGTTAGGTGAGTTTTATGCAAGATGAAGATTTTATTTGGATTATTAACCTGGAAGCTTAGTAACCTAGGATAACCCAACAGAGCCACTGACATCTGACTGGCTTATTTTCAATGGGGTTCTTTAATTTACTTCCCTTGGATATGACCCCAAAACAGTCAGCTAACACCCAGGTATCTCACTTCCACTCATCTGGAGACCAAACCCTGATCCCTCAGTTGTGAAATGAGGCCACTACTAGTTGAGCCATGAGCATTGCTATTCTAAAATGCATTCAGAACAATAATAGAGCAAAATTTCTTAACAATAAACTGGAAACAGGAGAGGTTAAGTTAAGACCTAGAGAATGCAGTATGTTTCAGCTTAGGTAACAAGATTAATTTGTCTAACAGTCTTTACAGCTATGCTATGTGACCTGTACCTCAGTGGTAAAGCACTCAGCTCCTAACTGAAAGGGCCTGGGTTTGACTTCCAGCAATGTGAGACTTATAATCAAGTCTTCCTACACCTATGGCCCATGTCTACCCTGCAATAAATAGGTACGGTACCTAGGAGTATTCTGCTGTTGTGGATTGCATCCTAGGGAATGGCCTGAATGGAAGTGTCAGTGTATTACTGTACTTGGTTCTGTTGGATTTCAGAGAATATTGCAAATATTAATAAACCTTTTCTGTGTTTGCTTATGCACACTATGAACTCCATAGCTGTATATAATGTTTATATTCCACAAAATTTCCTAATACAGAATATTTTGTGGAATAACTTAGACAAGGATGTGTGATGTCACCATGGTTGTTCAATATATTTATAGATGGGGTTGTAAGAGAAGTGAATGCGAGGGTCTTGGCAAGAGGTGTGGAGTTAAACGATAAAGAATCAAACACAAAATGGGAGTTGTCACAGTTGCTCTTTGCTGATGACACTGTGCTCTTGGGAGATTCTGAAGAGAAGTTGCAGAGGTTGGTTATGAATTTGGTAGGGGATGTAAAAGAAGAAAATTAAAAGTGAATATAGGAAAGAGTAGGGTTATGAGGATAGCAAAAAGATTAGGTGACAAAAGATTGGATATCAGATTGGAGGGAGAGAGTGTGGAGGAGGTGAATGTATTCACATACTTGTAGTATTTGGGAGTGGATGTGTCAGCAGATGGGTCATTGAAAGATGAGGTGAATCATAGATCTGATGAGGGGATAAGGGTGAGTAGTGCACTTAAGAGTCTGTGGAGACAAAGAACTTTGTCCTTGGAAGCAAAGAGGGGAATGTATGAGAGTATAGTTTTATCAACGCTCTTATATGGGTGTGAAGCATGGGTGATGAATGTTGCAGCGAGGAGAAGGCTGGAGGCAGTGGAGATGTCATGTCTGAGGGCAATGTGTGATGTGGATATAATGCAGAGAATTCATAGTTTGGAATTTAGGAGGAGGTGCGAGATTGCCAAAACTGTTGTCCAGTAGACCCCCGACTTACTATATTAATCCGTTCCTGAGAGCACGTCGTAAGATGAAATTATCGTAAGTCGAATTAATTTTCCCCATAAGAAATAATGGAAATCAAATTAATCTGTTCAAGATATCCAAAAGTATGAAGAATTTTTTTTTTACCACATGAAATACGTATACATTTTCCTACACACAAAAAGGATACATGCACAATATATATTGTGCATTTACTAGTGCACTAAATGAAGAATAAATGACACTTACCTTTATTGAAAATGTGGTGATGAGTGATGAGACACTGTTTGTGTCCTAGGAGTGCCTTTTCCTCCTGAGTAATGTAAGTCCTGTTTGGCATTTTTTTCCAGAACAGGCCTTATCACACTGTATATGCCACTACGGTTCTTAAATTTCTCAAACCAACCTTTGCTGGCCTTAAATTTACCAATATGAGCACTAGTTCCAGGCATTTTTTAGTGTTCTCCTGGGTGTTAGTCGACTGGTGTGGGTTGCATCCTGGGGGACAAGATTAACCCGCAAACGGTCCAAACGTATATATATGCTCACTACCCCAGTGCCCCGAATATTTTGAAAAAATAAAGAAATCGTTTTTTTTTCTTGAAAAAAAGAGCACATTTTTCTAAGTGTTATAGGATAAAAAAATTTTTTTAGGGTCGGTACTTACCGAGATATGAGGCCGCAAAGTTGGCACTTGGAGATCACCTGGTGGCAACATGGAGCGCTGCTGCTTGCAATAGTGTTGCCGATATATCTTTTTTTCCATTTTTCATATTATTTTATATAATTTTTATGTTCTGATAATTACAATTTATAGTAGTTCTTGTCATTTCATAACTAATCTTTGTTCTGACACTAGTATTAGGTACTGAAACTGTACTCACATTAATAAGTGGACATTTACAACTGCCTTGGTTATTTACTATTGTCTTTGAATATATATATATAAAGTATTTATAGGTCCCAGCAATGTTTTGGATATGTGAAAGTAGAGGAGGAGGAGGAGGAGGAGGAGGAGGAGGAGGAGGAGGAGGAGGAGGAGGAGGAGAGGAGGAGGAGAGGAGGAGGAGGAGGAGGAGGAGGAGGAGGAGGAGGAGGAGGAGGAGGAGGAGGAGGAGAGGAGGGGAGAGGAGGAGAGAGGAGGAGGAGGAGGAGGAGGAGAGGAGGAGGAGGAGGAGGAGGAGGAGAGGAGGAGGAGGAGGAGGAGGAGAGGAGGAGGAGGAGGAGGAGGAGGAGGTAGGAGGAGGAGGAGGAGGAGGAGAGGAGGAGGAGGAGGAGGAGGGGAGGAGGAGAGGAGGAGGAGGGAGGAGGAGGAGGAGGAGGAGGAGGAGAGGAGGAGGAGGAGGAGGAGGAGGAGGAGGAGGAGTGAGGATGGAGGAGGAGGGGAGGAGGAGGAGGAGGAGGAGGAGGAGGAGGAGGAGGAGGAGGGAGGAGGAGGAGGAGTGGGGAGAGGAGGAGGAGGAGGAGGAGGAGGAGAGAGGAGGAGGAGGAGAGAATAATAATAATTATAATAATAATAATAATAATAATAATAATATGTAATAATGATAATAAAATAATAAGTTCCCTTGAAGCATGAAAAACAAAGTCCACCCCTGACAGTGACATGATAAGATGAGATAACATTTGATAAGAGCTGACGTTTGATGAGCATTCGCAAGGGTGCAGTGATAAGACTTGATAAGAAAAGATTAGGGCCTGGCTTTGTTTTCGCTGGTACACAAACATGTCGGTCTATTTGTCTGTCTGTCAAGCTCCCTGTCTATCTGTCTATCCGTCTAGCTCTCTCTCTCAGAGAGAGCCACAAGACTGTGTCGTCATCACATTTACTCACATCTTCAAGCAGAGTATAGCACTTTGTCTGGATTTTTTGGGTTTTCCTAGGTAATTTACACTATGTATACTTGTATTTATGTGTACCTGTGAGACAGAGATAGACACTTAGAAAGAGATAGACAGAGACAGATAGACAGAGATAGACAGGGATAGACAGAGACAGACAGACACAAAGATAGACAGAGACAAAGATACAGAGAGACAGACATAGATAGACATAGATACAGACAGACAAATGGAGATAGAGCCAGGCCGCCAGCAGCCGGCCAGCCACACAGCTGGCTGCCACACAGCTGGCCAGCCAGTTAGCCAGCCAGCTAGCCAGCCAAGCAGCCAGTCAGCCAGCCAGGCAGCCAGCCAGCCTGCCAGAATTGTTTCTTTTACTTAGGGCATAGGTTATAAGACATTCTGAAAGGGTGTTGCACAAATATTGCACATGGGTTATTATCGAGGTTTTTTGATATTTCCTCGACCACTTGTGACCACATCCACCTCAAAGCCACTAAACTCAGGGTCAAAATCACTTTCCTCTTAAAATGGGAGCATTGATACTACATGACATCAGTGAATCCCAGGTGTTTGCTACGCTGTTTGTTCTAGCTGGCGCTCATTTGAACTGGTGCTCCCACAAGGTACTAAGTGGTCCCAGATTTTTTTAATACCACACACACACACCGAATGTTAGAACCCATTCATTCTATGCTGACAAGGCATCTCAGGCCAATCATGCCAAATTTGAAGGCAGGAAAAATAAAATGTATATATACGTTTGGAGAACTAGCGGTAAAAACGTATACGTTTGGACCGTTTACGGGTTAAGGAGCCCAATGGAAATAATTTAGACATTCCTCGATGACACACTGACTTTTTTGGGTTATCCTGGGTGGCTAACCCTCTGGGGTTAATTGTTTCTCGGTATTCTCGACAAGCCACACCAACAACAATCTCTCCACATCTTCGAGTAGCACAGCTGACCGTGGTGCAGCAGCAGCTGATCGTGGTACAATAGTACAGTGGACCCCCGGTTTATGATCAGCTCCCAATGCGACCAATTATGTAAGTGTATTTATGTAAGTGCGTTTGTATGTATATGTTTGGGGGTCTGAAATGGACTAATCTAATTCACAATATTCCTTATGGGAACAAATTCGGTCAGTACTGGCACCTGAACATACTTCTGGAATGAAAATATCGTAAATCGGGGGTCCACTGTATTTCGATAGTATTTCTCACCCTTTTTACCACAGGGTTGGTACTAGCAGCTTTCTTTGGGCCCATGGTGGCTTATTTAGCAGTTACAAGCACTAAAAACACTGGAATAATATACAAAGTTTATTGAGTGTATGCGTGCAACCGTCCGCCCTGGCTTGTAAACAATGTCACACTAGCTCAGCTGAGGCACTCAGGCCAGACGGACCAGACGGCTGCATTCGGGATGAATGATGTAAGTCAAGTTTTTCAACGGAGGTCGGGGTCAAATTTTTACGCTGACAAGCATCGTAAGTCGGTTTTATCGTAGGTTAAGGCCATCATAAGTCGGGGGTCCACTGTACAGTGTCTGCACTCTGAAGGAGGGGTGTTAATACTGCAGTTTTATACTGTAGTGTAAAGCACCCCTCTGGCAAGACAGTGATGGAGTGCATGATGATGAAAGTTTTTCTTTTTTGGGCCACCCTGCCTTGGTGGGAATCGGCCGATGTGTTAATAAAATAAAATAACTTTTAAATTAATTTAAAGAATTTAAGGATGCACAGGTCAACAATCCCATGCTGATACATTTATCAGTACACTAGGAACAATGTCCAGCATGACATCACAGAAGCACACGAAGGGTTTCAGATCTTAATATAACTCAAATAGTTACTTCCTGAAGGCCATTTTTGATGTATGCATCATGCCTACAGTAGATACATAAGATATTACAACTGATTACAGCACAATTCATTATAAAATTTAAATACTTATTAAACTAAATTAATGCTCAAATATTTAAATGATTATTTGACTATTACTTGTCAATGTTTTGTGGGCTGTCCTTAATTCCATTTGAATTTGAACAGAAATCCTTCAATAAATTTCAACTAGGAAAAAGAAACCAACAACTTTTTTAATAAATTATTAATCCTGTTGAGCAAATGACAGGATGACCTAAGCAAGTGTGGCATATTTCCATTGAGGTTCTTCGGTGCTCTCTGGTAAGATACAACTCACAACACCAAACTAATTCCTAGGTATCTATTTACTATTAGGTGAACAGGGACAGCAAGTACAAGGAAATCTGCCCAAACATCTCTCCTCTCCCAGGTGGATAGACAAAATAAACAAGTTTGCAGACAATTAATGGCTGAAACTACTCAAGACATGAGACAGTTGATTATGTATTTCCACTCATACATAGGAACTGTAACTCAGCCATGGGCTAGCCCCTGACACTTAAAACCTACTCTCCTTGGACAGGCTTAAAGAGCCAAATTTTGATGTCGGAATAATTAAAGAGCAGAGATGGATCTAGTCATGCACCATCATATTATTACGAATAATAATAATAATAATAATAAAATTTTTTTACAAAAATGTACATAAATATTAAACCACTGTGTTTGACAATATATTTCAAAAATTTTTATAGCCCTTAATAATACATAACATTTTGGGGAGTCTTAAACTACCACTAGGGCTAAGACTAGTTACTACTAATACAGTTATATAAGTGATGTGAAACTGTTTAGATATGAGGGTACACAAAGAGAGACTCAACATCAAAATTCATAGAAAAAGTAATGAAGAACTTTTCAGAATGAGGATCATAAGAATGTGGAAGTCCCTAGGAGAGTTGAGTGGTGGAAAATGAATGGAAATGTAATGTACAGCAAATACCACGAAGGTCATGGGGTTTGTGATGCTTCATATATTCTCAGTTCAAATATTTATTTGTAAAAATAGTTACATATACTGGTATGGGGCATTGCATGTATAATATACTGTGGCTTAGAAAAACATGTAAGCAAACACTATGACATATTTATTAGAAAACATTTCGGTCCTGGGACCGATCAAGGTCCCAGGACCGAAACTTTTCTAATAAATATGTCATAGTGTTTGCTTACGTGTCTTTCTAAACCAACTTGTCGGTATTTATTACCAAGGTTTATACCATAATATACTGTACATGATTAGGTATGTATAATATACTGTACATAATAAACTTCAAGATTTAAATGTTGGTGAATCTTACTTAAAAGAAAGGTTTGGAATGATATTGGGCTGTGTAGGTGTTAGTGTATTTTGGGATATTGATGTCTATGAGATAAACTTGAGAATGCCTCTTCAGATTGCCTTTAAATTGTCAAGGTTAGTGTTTTGTAGAGGAAGGTTCAAATTAGTTTTAGACTGTATAGGTGCCAATTTCTCATTTTTATTGAAGAAATTGGGGTATTAGTTTCACAAGTGATAACCTGTGAATGTCTCTTCTGAAGAAAACATACATAAGCTGGATGTTACAATCACAAATGAACATGAACTATCTAGCTTCCTTAGAGATGCTGAACTTATCAAGACTGATTAACCTATGGTCCTTACCACATTTCTCTATGTTTAGTGCAATGTTACTACCTCATTGTTGTGCAAGTTATTATTTACTTGCTAGTGTCAACTACCTCACAGTCTTACTTTTTTGTGCAATTATTTACTTGTTAAATTTTGCTGTGCAATTATTATTATTATTATTACAATCAAGGGGGAAGCGCTAAACCCGGAGGATTATACAGCGCCTGGGGGGGTATGTGGAAGGCATTCAGGCTTAATTTGGGGAACTGGAGCACAGATCCAATTCCCTAAATCAAGAGCCCCTCACCAACATCAAGGAACCTTCCTTGAGGGGTGCTGTGCAATTATTTCTGTTAAAATTAACTACTTTATGCCTCACAACCTGCCTTCAAGGTTCTAAGTGCAGACCACCATTTTCCAGTGTTATATTTTTTTTATTTTTTTTTTTTTTTAACTTTTTACAGTATTTCTTCATAGTCCATTTTTACAATCTTATTCTGATTACCCCTCAACAACACTTTATAAAATGTAATCTCACAATGTAACCTTTGCAAAGAAATAAAATTTTGTTTGTTTGTATTGACTTATTGTAACCCACATGTGTTTAACACTAAACATCAATGATTTATTTATTCTGATTGACTTCAGATCTTCAATGCTAATACATAACTGCATTATAAACTTAAGCAGCACTCTGGTCTATTCCTTTTGTGTGTAATGTGGTAGAGGGGGCTGGGCTTGTGAGATATGGGGATACCTTTCTTAAATCATGCAATGACCAAAACACATTTAGTTATCAGCATCATCCATACAGAGGTGTAAGTTTGTGTTAGTATACACAGTAAACTGCATTACGTATTATCTTTTTGTGAAACACATCAATTAGCATAAATTTGTACACATCACTGTAAAACTCCCAATGATTAAAAAATTATTCCATAAACACACTATATAAAAAAAGGAAATTTATACAACAGTACAGTACATACCTATCTTTAAAGCAAAAGACACTTACCAATAAAATCCACAGTGGGTGGGAGGAGGGGTCGGGGATCCTCAATCGGCACAGTGGCTGACTCACATTTAGTCCACCATTTCCCATATGTCTGCTTTAAAAATAAAAGGGGGAAATGATACTACACAGTATAAGAAACAAAGCTCATCAACATGAATTCATTAACCCTTTGGGGGTCGACAGGTCCTCTCAGAGACTTGTTCTCAGGGTCGGCCAAATTAAAAAAAAAAAATTATTTTTTCTTATGAAAAGATAGAGAATCTTTTCCCGATCATAATGACACCAAAAGTATGAAATTTGATGGAAAACTTATGGAATTATGCTCTCGCGAAGTTAGCGGTCTCGACGATGTTTATGCATCGGCGATTTTGCCCACTTTGAGCCCAATTTTCAGCCAATTCCAGTGTACTAGTTGACAAAAATCATAACTATTTCGCTAGAACTCCATTTTTTCTATCGAATGAGTACAAGAAACCACCCATTTACCTATTTCAACTATCCAATAAAGTGGTCAGAATTTAGCAATTTTGCCAATTTCACACAAATTTCAAAAGATGCCAATTTCCGAATAACGTCCAGAATAAACAAGAAAGACATTCCTGGCACTAAAATAACAAGTTCTCTGTTCGTTAGTCACATCCCCAGGCCCCTCTTATATTTCTTTGGCTTTCCACTTTGAATTTTTATTCTTACAAAAAACAGAAGATTTACTGTTATGCAGACTACTGAATTAGTGTAGAAATGGTATAAATAATATCAGCATACTTGTAAAAGAATATTAGACTCACCACTTGATGTGTATTGGATGCTTGGCATGATTTGTTTACTTTTGAACTTTGGTAAAAATCGAACATTTCTGCTACTTTGAGCTCAATTTCAAGGTACTTTTCATTGTAAAACCAGTCAAAATCATCTCAATTTCTGCAATATGTCTTCCATTCTATAAAATGAGACCAAGAAAACTAGAATACAACAATAAATACCATACAAAAATACAGTGCAAAGTTGCTGTTTTAATCCAAAAACACGGTCCAAGTTTTTTCTCATTATGCACTGTGTGCTGCAGGATTTTTTTATACTGCGCACAGTGACCACATAGACCCATTCTTACATATGTAGGCCTACCAGCTTTCTCTCACTAGATTTGAGGGTGCTAGAATTTAGGCATACTAGTACAGTGGACCCCCGGTTAACGATATTTCTTCACTCCAGAAGTATGTTCAGGTGCCAGTACTGACTGAATTTGTTCCCATAAGAAATATTGTGAAGTGGATTAGTCCATTTCAGACCCCCAAACATACACGTACAAACGCACTTACATAAATACACTTACATAATTGGTCACATTCGGAGGTAATCGTTATGCGGGGGTCCACTGTATGTCAAAAACCCTGGGTCGTAAGACGTACTAGTACGTCCGAAACCCCCAAAGGGTTAAGAATGATATACATACATACAGTTCCAACAGAGCCTGTAGTCCTCATGAATTAAAAAATCTATAACATTCCACCACACATATGTATCATAGGAATAAGAAAATACTGTATTTAAATTACCAGGCAATAGGCTGAGGAAAAGTCGCCATATTCAGGATAAAGTGTAGGTTTTCCTATGATGTTGTTGGCAACATAGGATATGGAGCCATCACTCCCATACTGAGAACTAAAGTCAGCAACCTCCTTCACATACTGGTCTACAACACACTGTGTTTTCCCCATTTTCCAGTTATTTCATGTCCCTGTAAAACAAAACATTTATTGTAAAACTGTTTTCAGCATCAAAATACCATAGTGTATTGCTGTACATGGAAAGACACAAATGCAATCCTTCAATTACAACATTTCTCCTTTATTAAGCCCACTGTGTGGGCAAAACCTTGCCAATAAAGAATCACATTATGATTCATTTGTGTTTCTTTCCATTGTGTCAGTATTTTAGTATTTTACATCATTTCTGTCTGTTGCTGAACAAGGTAAAGTGGGCACTCAATTATCCAAATCAAAGAATGGATCAACTACATTGTTGTATTTGCATCCAAAAAAAAAAAATGGTATAGTATATCCTCAATATAATGAAGTAATGGGGGAGGGACTGTCAGTGCCTATTAAACCAGAATTAAAAAAAAAAAAAAAACTAGCATTTAAGTACTCTACTGCATACCTAAAATAGTACAGCACTGTACTTACAATTTACAGTTGTATTACAATAAACACTTACAATAAATGAATTAAAAGTACACTTTGCCCAGTGGATTTTAGTTTAAATAAATGTTAAATGTTGTTTAAATAGATAACAAAAAAAGGCACAATACCGTGACTGGAACGATACACAATACAAAGAAAGGGGAGCACTGCAAGGCAGCTAGGTGCCCACAAAGGGAGAGCAAGTGCATAGAGGCGGGGGCAAGGGGAAGAGATGAAAAAAATAATGAAGGAACAGAATCACGAGACAGAAGAAAGAAAGACAACCCAGAGGAGAAAAAAAGAAAGAAGGAAAGAGGAAAGGGGAAGAGGGAGAAGAAGAAAAAGAAAAAAGAAAAAATGAGGAATCAGGTTAAGTCACGGGTGTTCTGAAGTTTGGAGCATTTTACAATGTAATGGTCCAAGTCAGGTTATTTGTGTATTGTTTAAATAGATGTTGAATACTGTGGGTCACATAAGCAGTTGAAAGCAACACTAGAACAGTTCACAAACAATCCGCACTCAGGAGAGGAAACTTACGACAATGTTTCGATTCATTCTGGACTGTTATCTCCTCAAGGAAGGTTCCTTGATGCTGGTGAGGGGCTCTTGATCTAGGAAATTGGATCTGTGCTCCAGTTCCCTGAATTAAGCCTAAATAGCTTCCACCCCCCCCCCACATGCACTGTATAATCCCGCAGGTTTAGCGCTCCCCCATGATAATAATAATAATAATAATAATCTGGACTGTTATTGTCAAATCACAACTGAGCGATGAAAAAAGTAGAGAATGCCAGAGAAGGTTTTTTCTCATTCAGTTGCAACTTGACAATGGTCCAGAAGAAACCAAAACATCAAAAGTTTCCTCTCTTAAGTGCGAATCATTTCCGAACAGTTCAACTTCGAAGCTACTCTAGGATATCTAGCTGCATCTATATAAGATAAGATTCGTTCGAATTTTTAACCTGGTGAGTTAGCCACCCAGGATAACCCAAGAAAGTCAGTGCATCATCAAGGACTGTCTGTTTTATTTCCATTGTGGTCCTTCAATCTTGTCCCCCAGGATGTGACCCACACCACTCAACTAACACCCAAGTACCTACTTACTGCTAGGTGAACAGGGATAGCAGATGTAAGGAAACATGCCTAACATCTCCACCAGTGTCAAAGATCGAACCATGGACACTCAGTGTGTGAAGCGTGTGTGTTGCCAACCAAGTCATAGGACACCACAGTACTCTACTAACATTTTTAAGGATTTGCACAAGGAACTGTCTTTTAATAAAGTATGTACTAGTTGGTTATAAACTTAACATCACAAGTTTAAGTTGAGTATCACCAGTCACAGAGCAAGTTTACTAGATGACTGTCTGTAAAGTGTCTTATAACATTTATCACTTACAACAGCTATTTTTGCATTCATTGAGGAGCACTAAACCCATAGTGGCCCTACAGTGCCTCAGTGGAATAGGAGGCAAGGAGGTTCTATCGTAGGGAAGAAAGTCCAATTTTTTGGATCACAAACTCCTCACTAGCATCAAGCAACGTCCCATGCGGTTTTAAAATACAGTGGAACCCCGGATTTTGCATGCACCGGATATTAAGACGTTTCGGATTTAGAACACTTTTTTGGGCAAAATTTTTCTCTGGATTTCGTACCTTGTCCCGGGAATCGTACATATCAGACGCATCCACCTACCCAAGAATGCCGTCAGTCTGGCTTTGTCACTGGTTGAGTGAGTATTCATCTGAAGCATTTCACAATTTTTGGCTTGTTTATTGATTGTGACTGCGATATAAGTCACCAAGGGCCCAAAGAAAGTTCCTAGTGCCAGCCCTTTGGTAAAGAAAGTGAGATACACAATAGAATTCAAGAAAGAGACTGTAGAAAAATACGAAAGTGGCGCACATTTAGCCGAGCTTGGCAGGATGTATGGGAAGTCGATATCAACACTCTGTTCCATCCTGGCAAAGCAAGTAGAAATCAAGGAAGCTAAAGTTGCAAAAGAGGTGAATATGCTAACAAAACAGAGATCACAAACAATCGAAGATGTGGAGAAGCTGTTGTGGGTGTGGATCAATGAAAAACAGTTAGCATGCAAGGCAGCTGCATGCGGATCTCGTAAAGAAAATGCCTGGAACGAGTGCTGCTGTTAGTAAATTTAAGGCCAGCAGAGGTTGGTTTGACAGATTCAAGAAGCTTAGTGACATACACAGTGTTGTAAGGCATGGTGAGGCTGCAAGTTCAGACAAACCTATGGCCGAAGAATTCATTGACGAATTCAAGGAGTACATAGAGAATGAATGATTCCTACCCCAAAGGTGTGTTCAATTGTAATGAAACAGGCCTCTTTTTGAATAAAATGCCAAAGAGGACCTACATCATGCAGGAGGAAAAGGCACTGCCAGGACACAAGCCTATGAAGGATAGGCTAACTTTTGTTCTGTGGTAACTCTAGTGGGGATTTCAAAGTAAAGCCTTTACTGGTGTATCACTCTGAAAATCCCAGTGTGTTCAAGAAAAACAATGTTGTCAAGAGTAAATTGTGTGTGTTGTGGAAAGCTAATAATAAGGCATGGGTCACAAGGGAAATTTTTGTTGACTGGGTCCATGAAGTGTTTGGCCCGAGTGAGAAAAAGTACCTCCTGGAAAATAAATTGCCACTCAAGTGCCTCCTGGTACTGGACAATGCTCCTGCTCATCCTCCAGACTTGGAAGACCAATTGTTTAAGGACTTTAGTTTTATAACAGTGAAGTTCTTGCCTCCTAACACCAATCCTCTCATTCAGCCCATGGACCAGCAGGTCATTTCTAACTTCAAAAAACTCTACACCAAAGCAATGTTTCAAAGGTGCTTTGAAGTGACCTTGGACATTGAATTGGCCCTAAGAGAGTTCTGGAGGGATTACTTCAATATCCTCCATTGCATAAGCCTTAAAGGTAAGGCTTAGAAGGAAGTGACTTCCAGGACTTTGAATTCTGCTTGAAGAAAATTGTGGCCAGAATGTGTCCTCGACAAAGATTTTGAAGGGTTAGAGGCTGACCCTGTTGACCCTATGCCTGTTGTGGAATGTCTTTGGGAAAGTACATGGGGTTGGATGTGAGTGGCCAGGATGTGGAAGAGTTGGTGGATGACCACAGGGAAGAGCTAACCACTGAACAGCTGCAAGACCTTCAACTGGAACAGCAACAGATTGCAGCTGAGGAAATTGCTTTAGAGGAGGAGGAAAAGAGAGGGGAGAAGGTGCCTTCTTCAGTGGTTAAGGACATTTGTTCAAAGTTGAATGCATTGCAAACTTTTGTTGAAAAATATCACCCTGACCAAGCTGATACAAAGTGTATCTGCAACATGTTCAGTGACAATACCTTGTCCCATTTTAGGCAAATCTTGAAGAGACGCCAGAAACAGAGCTCTCTGGACAGATTTTTAGTGCGACACGGGTCCAGTGCCAATAAAAGACAAAGAAGGGAAGTGACCCCAGAGGGCTTTGATACCTGAAGTCCTTATGGAAGGGGATTCCCTTTCCAAACAATAACCTCAACTCTCCCCTCCTCACCTTCTTCAATATGCCAACAAGAGACTTCAAGAGAGGTATGTAATGTTCACTTATCATTAAAATTAGTGCTTTATATTTATTTCCCATTGTTTTCTGTATGTAAAACTATAGTTATTCTTTAAAAAATTATTTTTTTATGAATATTTTTTGGTTAATTGGATTTACATTATTTCTTATGGGAAATATTACTTCGGCTTTTGTACGTTTTGGATTTAAAATGACGTTCTGGAACAGATTAAGTACGAAAACCAGGGTTCCACTGTACCTCGTACTTACAATACCTATTACTTGCAATACTTATCACAATATCTATTACTGTTAATACCTATTACATACAATACTTATAACTTACATTACCTATTACTGACAGTAATTATAATTTACATTACCTATTATTGAATACTTACTTACATTACCTATTACTGACAGTAATCCATCACTTGCATTACCTACTGCTGACAGTACTTATCACTTACATTACCTATTCTACAAACAGTACTTATCACTTATGTTACTAATTACTGACAATACTTATCACTTACATTATCAATTACATTCATGTCACTTACATTATTACTGACAATGCTTATTACTGTACTTACATGTCACTTACAATACCTACGACTTTTATTTTTTTTTTTTTTTAACAAGTAGGCTGTCTCTCACTGAGGCAGGGTGACCCAAAAAGAAAATACTTTCATCATCATTCAACACTTTCACCTCACTCATACATAATCACTGTATTTGCAGAGGCACCCAGATACAACAGTTTAGAAGCATATACAAAGATAAAGATCTCTCAAATATAACATATCCCTCCAAACTGCCAATATCCCAAACCCCTCCTTTAAAGTACAGACATTGTACTTCCCATTTCCAGTACTCAAGTCCGGCTATATAAAAATAAGCAGTTTTCCTGAATCCTTTCACTAATTATTACCCTGCTCACACTCCAACAGCTTGTCAAGTCCCAAAAACCATTTGTCTCCATTCACTCCTA